TTTCTCATGGTGCAGATGTCAATCAAAAGAATGAACATGGATGGACACCACTCCAAAGATCTGCTTATTTCAATAACATAGAGATAAAAAAATATTACTTTCACACAATTGTGAAATTGATTTGGAAGATAACAATGGATTCACAGCATTGCATTATGCAGTCAGAGATGATATCGTTGATATCTTGAATTTACTAATTGAAAATGGAGCAAAAATTGATTCAAAAGATGTTGAAGGAAAAACTCCTTTTTACAAAGCAATCTTATTCAATTCATTACGAGCTGCTGAAATATTCTTAAAGCATGGAGCCGAAATTAATGTGATATCAAAATCAGGCAAATCATTACTACATGAGTCATCAGTTCTGCACTCAAAAGAGACAGTAGAATTTCTTATTTCTCATGGTATCGATATTAATCGAAAAAATAAGAAAGGAATGACTCCTTTAGTTGTTTCTATTCTAAATGAAATGCAAGATGTTTCGCTAATTCTAATTAACAATGGCGCAGATATTAATGCAGTAGATAATCAAGGATTTCCAATTCTTTATTATGCACTTTATGCAAAAATGGAATACGTTGCATCAGTATTAATAGAAAAAGGTGCTAATGTAAACTATAATTTTCAAGATGGAACAAGTCTTCTTGAGCTTGCAAAACGTGATAATTCATACGAAATTGTAATGTTACTTAAGCTATATGGTGTAGAAAAAGAATCTGATAGTGATGAAATAGAAAATTTTGAAAATATTGTTATTGATCATAACAACAAACCATCTTCTTTGCATTTTGATTGCGATGCTGACACAAATTTAGGATAGAATGAAAATCAAATATAAAATTCATTCATGTTTTATAAAATGTATATTGTTTTATTGCTTATGTTTTTAATTTTTCGGGATGTGATCTAAGTAAGAGCGCTTTTGGGCGTTTTTGAGTTATAGATATTAAAGTTCACTCATTTCACATTGAATTCTAAAATTTTATAAAAATCTTGAAAGGAAAAATGTGAATATTTAAACTTAAAAGGGCTCTTTAAGGGGTAAAAATGTCAAGGCACTATGGCCGAGTGGTTAAGGCGTGGGATTTGAGTCCCCATGGGCTTGTCCCGCATCGGTTCAAATCCGGTTGGTGTCGTTTTTTTGCTTTTTGCACAAATACATTCACGCATAACTGATAAGATCAAAAAATATCAATTTCTGCTCACTTGTAGGTCAATTTCTATATATGTATTTTAAACTATTCGAATGTGCTTTTATCATTCATGACAATTAAAGTGATCAGAAGCATTGTTCATATCATCGGAATCATTGCAACAAAAAATCTCATTGGCTCATTACATTAAAGAATGTTCAAAACAATCGTGACATTAATATGAACAGTTTTGATTGTCACTTTTCAATTCAAAAATTTGATTTGCTTATAGAATTTTGTTAAAGAAACGAGACAACATTACATGTAGATTTTGTAAAACAAAATAAATGGAAGATGAAATTGAAGATAGAACATTCTTTATTCAATTCTTTCTTTTCATTGGAAACTAATCATATCATTTAACATGTGCTTTCTGAATATAAGAGCTCTAGTTCGATTTCTATTGGCAAAAATAGTCTTCTACTCTATATTTTTGATCTTATCAGTTATGCGTGAATGTATTTGTGCAAAAAGCAAAAAAACGACACCAACCGGATTTGAACCGATGCGGGACAAGCCCATGGGGACTCAAATCCCACGCCTTAACCACTCGGCCATAGTGCCTTGACTTTCATTTCAAGTGAGTCTACTTATAATGTATTACAGAGTGGTTGGTGTTGGGGGTTAAGGGCCACCTGGCCTCCTCAACACCCGGGTACCCAGAAAAAAGTGGTTTTAAAAACAATCTTAAGAATGACATAACTATATTATTAATATTGTGCTACAAAAAATTAGATAATATCCAAAATTTACCGATATTTACTTGAATGATTTTTGGTATTTTGTTTTGTACCGAAATGGCTAACAAAAAAGTGACAGAAAACCTTAAATTGCGCGGCAATTTTAATTAAAAAATAAACATTAATTTTTGTGATTGATATTATGCATTTTATTTATATTATATAAGATTTAAATTTAGGGGAAAAATTGGAAAAAAAATAAGATTGGAAGTCTTTAGGTAAGAAGGAAAGGGCAAGAGATATATAGTGTACCTATATACCTCTTGCCCTTTCATTCTAAGTAGAAATGGGAGAAACTTTGTCCGCATCATAAGTTATGCGGACAAAGTTTCTCCGATTTCTAATGGGAATTGCAGGCTATGAGGCACTGATATATAATCAGTACCTCATAGCCTACAATTCCCCTTATTAGACTTCCAAACTTTGAGGTAATCTCTTGACATTAACTCAAAGTTTGGAAAACTTCTCGTAAGAATCAATCGTCAAAAACCTCGATTGCAGTTATATTCATTGTGTTAAATTTGATTTATTTTGAAATTTTTATAAATTAAATTTTATATAACATAAAGCGTTATGAATTAGTATTTCCATATGAATTTTATCTCGAAAATAGTAATTCTGTACAGTTATATTTCGGTTAATTTTGGAAATTTCTAGGAATACTTTAAGATAGTATGATTATATATAACTCTGCCTTCATGATTTATTTTAGCTTTCGCGCAAATATCAGTTAACTTAACTCCATTATTTGATTTTGTGATGGCTTCACAAAGCCAATCAATATCAATCTCTTCTGGAGAATGTTTTCTCATCTAGAATATTTTCAATACTTTACATACAAACATTTTTATTTCTAAAAAACTTTTTAATTTTTTCTAGGATATCTGAATGAAAATAGTTAGAACAAGATTTTGAAGCTCAAAACATTAAAAATTATTAAAGATTTGTATAATATGATTAAAAATGGGAAATAATATGAGGCAATATAAAGGAATATGAATATTAAATAAATATATCTAAATAGAAAGAATCAGAAAAATCAAATTATTGGCGCCAAAAATTTCACCTTTTTGGTGAGCCATTTCGGTATGAGATATGATTTTTGGTATTTAAACATTAGTATGAATATTTTGACAAATAAGCTTCAAACCAGAAAATAAATTACATTGCCATAGTCATCCATATTCAATAACAATACAAATTAACTCAATAAATCGTGATTCTACATCTTTCAACCGCCTTTCAATTTAAATGATATATAATGCGTTATAAGTTAAAACAATCAATTCCGAAGTGATAAAGTATCAATTTATTTTCAATATTTCAAGTTTTCATAAACAAACATAATAAACATGTACAATATATAGTCTCCCACTTGCTCTAACAAAAGTAATATAATTTACACAATTAAAGCCGTTTCAGTTATATTATCGTTGTTACTACGCTTGTTGATAATAAACCTTACAACAAAGAAAGCAGCAACAGCTATTAAAGCAATAATAACTAATGAAACAACAATAGCAACTGTTGTCTTTGATTTTCCACTAGAAGATGTATTGCTCTCTGATATATTAGTTTGGTTTGTTGGCGGAGTTGAAGGTGACGAAGATGAAGGTTCTGAAGTTGGTATTTCAGGCTTTTCAGCTCTTAATTTATGATATTTTTTCAAGAAATCTCTATTTTCTTTGAGATTTGTTTCATTTCCAAGATAAACAAGTGGCATATGACTTTGTTTGTAAACATTGATTGTCATTGAAGCTCTCATACCTGGATCGTGCCATAAAGTTGTCATCTTCAAATTTGTATCTAAGTTTGTAGTAAAAATAACAATTTCACTCCAATTAGATGCTGCCATTATGAACTCCTCTCTCCAATCTCCTAAAATATCACCATGGAATAAAGGATAATCTCCATCATCGTCATATTTCAAATCTGTCCCATATTTATTATTAAACAAAGTGGTTGAAGTTAGGTAACGAATAGATTTGTTATTTTCAGCATCAAATTTAATAACTAATCCTCGATTGATGGTAGAAGGACTAAGGGTTCCCTCCCAGTACAAATTGTTTGCTGGCCATAAGAAATCGGTGAAATTTTCAACCAATAAATCATTTGTTTTCTCATTATATAAACCATCGAACGAATATACTTCATAACCTGGCTTTGATGGATCAAAATCACCAGCATTGCCTCTTCCTAAGTCATGAACATATGTGATAGCACATTTTATTAAATTACGAGAAACATATATATATGTGTATATTGTAGATATAGTACCTAAATCTATGAAGTTCTCATATATTCAAAATGATTTGTTGGATGTTAAATTTTCATAGATGATGGAGTATACCACACAGATCAACTTTTCTCTCAAACTTGATCTTACTATAGTCGAAAGTTTTTCGACTGTGAGGTTATTTTCACAGCACAATATTATTTTTCTTATGATATTTTTATCATCGCTTTATCATCATTAAATATTCAAATCTCCCCTTTTTTTTAAAAAAAAATACTTTTAAGAATTTTTTTAGTAAAGGTTAGTAAAACGAAATCTAACATTAACCCTAATTCATATAATTAGCTGTTCTTTATTGTGCTAGTGATATTTGTAATATATTTACTAAATTGTTTGCAGGTTGAACTAAATTGACTCCGAAATGCTGACTTATAAATGATTATAATGCCTTTTAATTAAGCTTATATCTTAAATGAATGAGCGACTTCGTTTTGCGCAAAAAAATATAATACTGTAAACATTGAATTTTTCAAACCGTTTTCCCCTATGAAAATCTTTTCAAATTCTTTTTCAATGAAAAATATTTTTAAAGTTTTTCAATGAAAAATATTTTATAAGCCAATATAATCACGTATTTTGTTATATGCTTTGAATGATCATTCAAAATTGAATGCAATAAAATATCCTATTCTAAGGATATTCAATATTATAAAATTTTAGATGCAATAGTTTATATCAATTACAATTATTAAATGAGATGCTACAAAATATATATTTTTCAATGTGATCCATTTTATATTTAATTTTTTAAATAGCTATTGAAATCATAAAATGATATTGTCTCTACTCCTCGTTGCTCAGCTAGATGTGCATACATGCAATCATGATCTTGAAATGGGTAACATAACAAGAGAACTTCAAGGACCTCAATCATATCGCAGCCTTAAAAATACCGAATGGAAAAACATCAGAATTAAGGTAGATTATAATTATATTGATAATACAAAAGATGATGAACGAACTTGTAAACGAGCTGGACAACTAGTTGTATTCCAAGGCGTAAGATATATTTGCAAACAGGAACATATTTTGTCATATTCAAAAATTTTGGCTATTAAAGGAACACTTAATAATGTCAAATCATATTTAGAGAGACTTCTTACAGTAATTCCATTCAATTATAATATTAATTATGTGGACTTTCGTAGCCGTTATGGATACGAGACGAATTTTGGCAAACAAAGCGCATACGGTGCCGATATAGTACTTGCAGTACTTTCAAGACCGAGACAGGATAATGATGCTACTCTCGCATCAGCTGCTGGATTAGCAGAAGAGAGAACATATCACAGACCAATATTTGGTGTCGTTTTCTTAAATCCAATGGCAGTTCCTGATACAGCACAAGATGAAAACTCAAATGATTCAAGATTCTTTTATACTTGCGTTCACGAAATTTTCCATGCTTTGGGTATTTCTCAATCAGATTTCCGACACTATCATCCACATGATTCCATAACTCCACATTCACAAATAGTATGCAGTTTCAGAAAGTATGGAAGAGACTTTTCGTTCTTAGTAACACCATACGCTCATAAATTTGCAGTGAAGCGCTTTGGAGTAGAAGTTTTCGTAGGAGATGACAGAACTTGCCCATCTGGATTAGAAATCGAAAATGATGGCGGTCAAGGAACAGCAGGAAGTCATTTAGAAGCAAGATCTTACATGTCAGATTTGATGGTTGGCATGACAATTCAAACAAAATCTGGACCATATTCCAGGTTGACTGATGCTGTTCTTGCAGTTCTTATGGATACAGGTAACTACAAAGTTAACTGGAGAATGGGACAACCATTAGTATGGGGCCACCCAGAATCAATTGATGGAAAACCAATTCCAAACTTTGCAATTGGTCCTCCACAAAATGTTTTCCCTAAGTATTATATGAGAGACTTCTCAGTACAAGAAGATTGGTATGCAAGTTTTGATTTCAAATTCTCCGGACCGTTTTCAGGACCTGCACATATTAGAGCAAGTTATAGCGAAAAACAATTTTATGATCCAAAAGGCATTGGAGTTGGTACAACACAAGTTTATGATTTCATTCCATTTTATTTTCCAAATTATGTTTGTCCTAATGGACAAGCTATTCTTCCATCAACAACGTCATATTATTACCACAAATGCGGTACATATACATGCGACGGATATAAATCGTTCACAATTCAAGTCAATAAAGATCTAGCTGCAACTCAGTTTGAAAGTGTCACATGCACAAAAGATAATGCAACAGCTGTATTATCTATGTCAGTAAGCGGTTATCGCAGACAAGTTTCTTGTGTTGATCCTGAGAGATTCTGCAGGTCTGTGAAACTTAACGAAATGAAGTTTGTTGTTGACCCATTCAATCCAGATACAAGGCAATTGAATAGTGATTCTCCAACACCGACACAGCCTGAACCTGATAATAATCCATCAGGACCCGAACCAGGAAATAATCCATCAGGACCCGAACCAGGAAATAATCCATCAGGACCCGAACCAGGAAATAATCCATCAGGACCCGAACCAGGAAATAATCCATCAGGACCCGAACCAGGAAATAATCCATCAGGACCCGAACCAGGAAATAATCCATCAGGACCCGAACCAGGAAATAATCCATCAGGACCCGAACCAGGAAATAATCCATCAGGACCCGAACCAGGAAATAATCCATCAGGACCTGGAGTTGAAAATCCTTCAGGAACTGGAGGAAATGAAACAACAACAACAGGGTCTGGAGGTTCATATGAAAATTCCAAAGCAGCAGAAAAGAAGGCTAAAAAGAAAAAGTTGATAATTATTGCGGCATGTGCCGGAGTTGCAGCTTTAATTGTGATTGCATTTATTGCAGTTTTGGTTATATTTGCAATTAGAAATGCAAAAGAAAATGCATATCATGAGGATTCTGATGCAAATTATGTTGTTTAGAAAGGAATTAAAGAAAAAAACTTTTTATTTCTCAAATATTTCTTGTACTAAAATATTTTTTATAAAGAAAAAATTAAATTTAGAAAAGATATATCTCGAATTTATTTTCTTTCTTGATCTACAATATCTAATGTGATTATTTTTTTTTTAGTTTTATCGAATCGATATTAAAAGTATACCTACTAATTTCATTAACTCAATAATTTTGATATTTGGCATAAAATCAAAAATCAAATTTAATTTTTTGAATGAAAGTTTATAAAAAAATCACTTTTTCCAAAATATAATCTAACTTTTAAAACAATAAATAAATAAAAAATACAAGAAATATTATAATTGTTATAGACCGAAAATAGATTTTTTCGGTTTTCTTTTCAAATAATTGAAAGAATGATACTATTATAGGTTTATTATATTATATAGCATATAATCATGCTATAGCCGAAAATTATAAGTTTTGAGAAGATTGAATATAACACAAATAAATTTGAATGTAAGTTAAATTGCTTGTTGTTTTTAATAGCTATTTAATGAGAAATCCAATATTGCAAAATTCAAATTGAATGATTGAAAGAACAGAAAAAGTCATTCTTTTCAATTTCGAATATGTTTCATTGTATTTATAATTATATGGCAAATACGATATTTAAACTTGATTTTTGAAGGAAAATTCACAAAATTGAATAAATTCAAATAATTTTTATTCAAAAATAAACTAGTTATTTGAGTTTAATACTAATTATCTATTCAAACTACAAAGTTTGTAATTTAAAATATTTTGTGAGATCAGATTGAATTAATTCAAGGTTCTTTTCAATTAATATTAATGACCATATTACGCATTTTCGAACATTCTAAACCAAATATATAAAAATGGGAGACGAATGTTAAATTTGCTAGACATGGGGGAGTTGTCTGCAAAGTTTTAGCTCTTATCTCTAACAAAAAATTAATTTTTAAAAAAATGACCGAATACGTTTCACAGCGAGAAAAAAATAAAAGGCAAGAGAGAATTTTCTAGACATAAAGAAGTTGTCTGCAAAGTTTTAGCTCTTATCTCTAACAAAAAATTAATTTTTAAAAAAATGACCGAATACGTTTCACAGCGAGAAAAAAATAAAAGGCAAGATAGAATTTTCTAGACATAAAGAAGTTGTCTACCAAGTGTCAGCTGTTACTTCTTCTCAATACTGATATAAAATAAAAATCTTTATTATTTATTTAACCTTTATTGTTTCATTAAACTAAAAAAAAAAAAAAAAAAAAAAAAAAAGGTAGTGGGGCTTCCAGGCACTTCGTGCCTTCTAGCCCTGAAGATGTTTAGTATAAATGAAGTTTTTATTCGGAAAATTGTTAGTCTTCTGGGTCGAAAACATTATATAATGTGTCGCTTTTCACAAATTATATATATTTTCATGTTTTGTCACTTTTCTGTCACTTTTCGGGTAAAAACATTTTTATTATTATATATAAATGAATTTTACAAAACCACCGTTACCATTCTTTGGAAATAAGAGTAGATGTAAAGATATTATATTGAGAGAACTTAAGAAACTACCGAATGGTCTAACATTTGTAGACTTGTTCGGTGGAAGTTTCTATATATCTCATTTGTGCCATACAATATTTCCTGACTCAAAGATTATATGCAATGACTTCGACAACTATATGGACCGTCTCAAACATATTCCAGACACAAACAATATATTGAAAGCGTTAAAAGAAAAGATACCTATAGGTAAGATGGAACGTATACCATTAGATAAGAAAAATACTGTCAGAGAGGTTTTGAAAAAGGCAGAGTATATTGACTGGGATAGTATATCTGCTAGACTATTATATAGTGGTGCTATAAGAGTTCATGACATTGAAACACTTATGTCAAAAGTTTTATATCTTAACTATACAAATGTTTTCAAAGAGAACATAGAAAAATATATTGAGGGTATAGAGTTTGTGAGATGTCATTGGACAGAGTTGTATGAAAAATATAAAGACAAGGAAAATGTTTTCTTTATAGTGGACCCGCCGTTCTATAACACATGGGATTTTCAATACCAAGTAGACTGGACTTTGAGAGACTCTTTAGAAACTTTAGACGTTTTACATAACCATCCATGCTTTTACTTTACATCCGATAAAAGTGGTTTGGAAAGTGTCATGAGATGGTTAGAGGACATACATGACTATGAGTTTAGATACGATAAGATAGAATATGAGAGAGGTCCTATAAACTGGAGAAAGTGTCATAACAAAGAAATTTTACTAGTAAGTAAATGTGGTTTGAAATAGGACTACTTGTTTTAGGTTTTTTCCATTGTGTCATTTATTTATTTGACGTGGCAGAAAGATATAGAGAATATGAAGATGAACCAATGCCTGCAAATGTCCAGTATATGTACTCGTAAGAGATATTTTTATCTAATATTAAATGGACGCACAGAACTTAGCGAATGCACAGCAACCTGGACAACCAAACCCAGAGAATATTCCAAATGAAGTTAGAATACAAACTGCAATGGCAAACTATGGTCAAGTGCCAACAGATGTACAAATGCAAACTGCCATGTCAAATGACGCTGCGTTAGGTTTGCCACCATGGTATGCAAATATGAGATGGAAAGAGTTTTATACAAACCCTGAAGTGGGATATAAACAACTTTATGCAGATGACGCGAACACAGGAGTTGACCCAGAATATGTTTTCTACCAGAGGAGAAACAGAATGTATGAGCTCCAGTTAAAGAATGCTATGGAACTCAACAGGAAACGTAAGAGACTAGGCGGACATTAGATTTTTACATATAGTAAAATGGGTTTCTTCAGTAGTATTGGAAACTTCTTTCGAAATGTTGGAAGAGGTATATGGAATGGAATAAAAACCGTAGGAAGAGGAATTTGGAACGGTGTCAAAAATATTGGTAAAAGGGTAGGTCAGTTTGTTGGTATTATACCTAAAGACCCTGAACCAGAAGAGCAAGCTCCTGTTATACAACAGCCTGAACCTGCACCACAGTCTAGTTGGCAACCAAATCCAACACCTCAACCGTATTAAAAAATTATATTTTTACCGTTCGATAGTAGTTGTATATGAAACTAAGTTCTAAGTAAAACGCATGGTATAATGGAATTATTCTTTTTCTTCCATCTGTAGTAAACCATACTTGAAAGTCTGAAATACTTCCACTTGGTGGTTCGTATAACTTTGTAGGTTTTTCGTAAAAGTCATTTGCCAAGCATAAGAAAGAGTTTTGGGCGCCAGAAAATGAAGCATGAACAATAATAGCAGCTGGGTCGAAAACATCTTTAAATAAATATGGTTCATCTCTTGCATATCGACTGTAAATATTTGCTAAAGGAAGTTCGACTTTCTGATTTAACATTCTTTGCAAATAATACCATGACATTGCAGTGAATTCTGTATATATTTGTTCGTCTTTCTTTGGATTGTCTTCGTAGATTTGAAATGACACTTGTGAATTTTGTTTGTCATATACAATTCTCACATAAAGTGTGCTCTCGGTATTTGCATATTCATCAGCATATTTTGCATAACATGAATTTATTTTATCTTCTATATTTTTTAACGCAGTCTGTAGAGAAGATGAAAGGTCAACTTGTATTAGCTCAATTTCTTCCCACATTTTTCGTTTCCCTTCAGATATATAATCTATATGAAACCTTACAATAAATGGAAAACTTTTATCTTCTACAGATACAAACTTCATTCTACGAAAGCCAATAGCTTTTGTGACAGATGGGTCTCTTAACCATCTTAACGGGTAGTCAAAACGATAGCCTTCATGCTTTACGGTCTCTGTCTCAAACTTTTGACCGACATTAGTAAAAAGTTCATCTAATGGTTTAGTTGTAGCAACTCTTGAATTTTCTTTTTCTATTGGAAGCATATTTTATCTAGAATAAAAATGTCAAATGAAACAGCGTCTATGAGAGAAATACAACACAACCGACAACTCATTATACAAGCTCTAAATAAGAACACAACAAACTTTTCAAACTATTCTAAGATATCTGAGTCATTGAAAGAAGGAAACTTAAAACTGACATTAAACCCAATGACAGATGAGTTTCTGTTTCAAGACAATAAGAACCATACTGTCTGTATAAATCCAACAAAAGGAACTTTAAACGAGAAACCTATAAATGAACTTCTTTTGAAAGCAGATGTTGGCAACAAAGCTGACAAAGAATATGTAGACGATGCAATAGCAAAAGAAGAAGAAAGAGCTAACAATGCTTATGCAACAAAAGAACATACTCATCCTGAACTAGCAGACAAAACATATGTTGACAATAAAATGTCAAGTGAAGTGACAAGAGCTGAAAACGAATATTCTAAAAAGACTCATACACATTCTATATCTGAAATAACAAACTTACAAGAAACCTTAAACAGGAAAAGTGACGTTGGACATACACATACCATTGCAAATATTGCAAACTTACAAGAAACCTTAAACAGGAAAAGTGACGTTGGACATACACATACATCTTCTGAAATAACAGACTTAAACGTTAGCCTTGAAAATAAAGCAGATAAAACATATGTCAATGAAATATACCAAAGTTTGCTAGGAACAAAAAATATTGAAACTATTGTTGGTGACTTTTCTGTCAATGAAGAAAACAAATATTTTAGATGGCAGTTGGTACAGTCCTTAGAAAATGGTACACGGTATAAACTCATTCCGAAAAATAACAATGAAATGTATGTAAGCTATAAAAAGAATGATGGTACACAAGTTAAAGTTCCATTAGACAACAACTGCTACTTAAACTTATATGGAGACGAACAAAAGAAATATTTAAGAGTTTATGAAATGACAGATATGGCATTGCCTGACCCAGCTCCAGCACCATATTATTATGACTATGGAGATGACGTCAGAACACCACATGTAGATGAACAAAAGCTAACATTATATTTAGATTATTATAGATATAAAAGATATAATGCAATAGAAAAAACGAGAATAGTATACTATTATGAAGATGACAGAAACAAATATTATAGTCAAGACCTTACCTACCCTGAAAACATAAGATTATATTATAAAAAATATTCTGACTTAAACCAGAAGAAACCTGAAATAGTTGCACTATATTTTAAGTTCAAAAGAGACAATCCTATAATATCTCATATGTTTGATTTAATGAACCCAGTAGGTTCTATTTATACATCTATGGAAGCAAGAGGTCCTCAAGTAATGTTTGGTGTTGGTGCATGGGAACAAATAGTCGACAGGTTTTTGTATTGTGCAAACTCTTCAAAGGAAACAGGTGGAAGTAAAACGATTTCAGGTGAAAACTTACCTGCGCACAGTCACTACATAGATTTAAGTACATCTCAAGCAGGTTGGCATAAGCATAGATATTGGGATTGGTCAGGAATGACAAAAGGTAAAGGATATGATGTTAAAGACGACGTTAAGTTTGCTATAAATTGTTACTGGGATGACACTCAGGGAGAAGGAAACCATACACATTTCGTTTCAGGATATACACAAACAACGGGACAAAGTAAAGAATACATGCCACCTTACATGACAGTTTACGCATGGTATAGAATTGCTTAGTCGTCATTTTCAACTTCTTTAGCATATTCGTCAGGAGTTGTCTTATATTTGTTAGGAACTGTCTTTGAAAGTATACCACCTTGAACTTTGACAAGTTTGAAACGAGGTCTGACAATAGTCGTTTTATCTTCTGCTTGCAGTGTGTACATTTTGCCATGTTTGCCTAAAACTTCATAATATTCTCTTGTATACTTTCTTCTATTTTTACGAACACGAATGTGAGTACCTGTCGGGTTCCCATTGTTGTCATAGTCAATAGTATTTTCATATGGGTCGCGTTTAGGTATTTCTATTTTTACTTTGTCACCTTTCTTAAGTTTGAAGCCCGGCATTCTTTCTTGTTTGTCTCTTTTGACTAAATTATTAAATATATAGTCTTTCTCTAAGTCAGGGTTGTTTTTCATTTCTTCGGGGAGTGGTTTCCCAAACCTTTTTGTTTACGGTTATTGTAAATATTTAAAACTTGTCTCATCTTTGCCATGGAAAAGTGTCTATACTTGTCGTCATATGACATTTCATTTGCTTCACCACCTTGTGGTTGGTTTAAGTCTCTTAACATTTTTATACAACTGTCAATGACACCAAGAGCAGAATGGTTTTGGTCGACAATGAAATATTGGTTTACATTTTTTGAACGCAGATAGTTTTTAATATCGTCTGATTTGAAAGAACTTTCACAGTCAGATGTCAGTTTTGTTGGATGGTATTTGTCAACGAATATTGTCAAAGCAGTTTTCACATCTAAAATATTTTTGGACTGCAATGGTATGGCTTCACAGTATCTTGTGTTTTGACCAACAAATATTAGCCAGTATGGTGGTCCATCTGTTCTAACTCTCGGAATGTTTTCCAAGATATCCATAAACCAAGCATTTGGTGTTGAACTAAAGATTTTTACCATGAGTGCTTTCTTTGTTGCTTTAGAAACATAGGGGTCCTTGTTTGGATTCGTCATTTTTTAACCCATAAGAAATGGGTTTATTTGGCGCATTAGCAGGAGTTGCATCCAGATTTTTGCCCGCAGTGGGAACAATAGCCAGAGGTGTATTTGGGGTTGGAAGGAAGATTTTGAGTACATTAGGTATACTGAAAGAGAAAGCACAACCTATTATACAAACTGTACAGAAAGGTTGGGATGTAGCACGAGATGCAGCAAATCTTATTCCAAATCCTGAAACAAGAGGAAAAGTTCAAGGATGGATGGACAATGTAGGAAGAGAAGCAGGAAACTACTATAACAAAGCAAATGACTACTATAACCAAGCAGGACACTATATGGACCAAGGTGAAAGATTCTTTAACAGAGGATATAACCATGCACAACAATGGGTAAACAATAACCAACCTCAACCGCCTCAAACGTGGGGAATGTAAAGTTTTTTACTGAGATGAAATGAACAATACAGCATTGAGACAAATGGGTTCAAGATGGATTTGTCGACTTCCAGCAGTTACACAACCACGTGTTTGTCAAGTCCTCCCTATACCTCAGGAAGTTTTAGACCGACTTAAAAAACCTAAACAACCAGTTGAAAACAAACCAAACTAAAATTTTTTACTGAGATGAAATGACCGAAGAAGTTGAAACGGTAGATTTGACACCACAAACAAAAAGTTCAGAACCATTGTCAAAACCTGTCAAAGAACTTACAGATGAAGAGAAAAATTCAATAATAGAAAGTGCCAGGTCTGGAAATACAAACCCTAACTATAAAGTCACTTTTCATAGAAATGGAACGGCTAGTATCTCAAAAAAGAAACAGACTCTCACAAATAAAATATTGAAGTCTGAAGGAGCTTTCGAGACAACAGATGGAAAAGTTTACTTCACTGACCAACAGTTCATTATAGAACATCTCATTGACTTAGAGTCGAAATATTCTAAACTTTACAACAAACACAAAAAGTTGAAAGGAAAACAAAAACAAATGGCATATGATATTTATGAAGATGTTAACGACACAACCATACCTGCAAGTGAGGTAAAGTCAGAGGAACCGAAAAGTGACGAAAAACCGATAGAAGAAGAAAAACCAAAAACTGAAGATAAACCAAAACCAAAGTTTAGTCAACCTTCATTAGCTGGTATGGGTTGGCGTCAAAGACTTATGGCAGCAGGCGGTTATGTAAAGTAAAGAAAAAATATATTTTTTTATTTTTATAAAAATGCCCCCATATAGAATGGATAGAAAGTCTGCTAGAATAAAAGCAGAGTTACAAAGATATGGTTGGAGAGTTTCGAAGAATTTTAAATATAGGAAGGGAAGACCCATAAAAGTCTATGACAAACTGGCTGGTCTGACCTACGAAATGGATTTGGAAACAGCACGTGCAAATTATCCAAACAGACTAGAGAGGTTAGAAGAAGAACGTCTTATGGACATGCCTTTCGATGTTAGTGAACCTCAAGTTGAAGGACACGACGGCTTTGCCAGATTCTACTGGAAACATGACGAACAATTGCATCCTTTGAGAAGGAAAAAAGGTAGTGCAGAGGATGGTCATGCTCCCATGGAAAGAACAAGATATGCATATGAGAAGTATCGTGAAGTTAGAAGTCAAATTACATCTGGTCGAACCTTTACAGTAAACTTTGACGAAGGAAAGAACAAAGAAGGCTTCATGGGTGTACTTGCTGCCATAGAAGATGGAAATAAGAAAGGATACAATCTCAGATTGACCATAACAGATTTGGATGGTCACATTTACTATGCAAATGGCAATGAACAAACAGCTGCAAAACTTCTTGACGCTTTCAAGACTACAAAGAGAGAACAAATGGTTGACTCCGACTCAGACATTTTGAATGCAATTGAAGGAATTGTAAGTGTCAAGTTCGAATGGTACCAACCTAACCCTCAAGCAGTCAGACAACATGCTGGATACTTTCCGTTCATAAATAAGTCTGACATTGACTTGACAAGGTATGGAATTTACAATTCAATTGAAACAATTGTCAACGAACCTTGTATTCTTACATGTCTCAGGAACTCTGGTCTTGTTACAGATGAGAAGATGAAGTATCTTGAGTCATGTGTGAAGACAAGGTACATTCTCAGAGGTCAATTGGCAAAAGTTGCACCGTTGGCAAATGTCAATATCCGAGTCAACATACCTACAGCTAAAGGTTCTTCACATGACGACTATGTTGTTGACAAAGACTTACCATGGTTGAAGATTGCAATTGTCCACAACCACTTCATGTTGAACGAAAGTCTTACAAACCCATTCTTTGGTAAAAGTAAGTGCAACATTGTCAGAGCTGTAAACATTCTTTTCGAGAAAGGTTTGTTGGAACCAATTCCAGATGACAAACTGACAGAAACTTTTGTACCAAAAGACGAAACAAACTTTTCATTGTTAGCAAGACCAAAAGTTGTTCCAGACAAAGTTATAGCACAAAAGAAGTACACTGTTCCACAAGGAGTTGGATTGTTCGGATACCAACCTGAACCAGAAGAACTTCCAATGAGGTTGCAAGAACTTCAAGATGCTATAAACAAACTTCCATTGAGACATCCAATTGACGTCAAATTGTATTGGAGAGCATCTGAGTTAGGTCAGAAGGTTTTATATGAAACAGGTTGCTTCGACGATGTTTATGAGATAACAGGAGAAGTTTCTCAGAAGATAAGAGACTCACTTGAATTTCCACAAACTGGACCAATTGGTTGCGACAAGTTCGACTCAGATGAAAAGATATACTATGTCGACCTTAACGCTGCATACATGAGGTTCGTCCAATATATCCCGACTGGAATTCCAAACGAAGACGGTGAGTTCCCAGGAAGGAACTATACAGTTGGAAAAGTCATACAACAACTCTATGATATTAGGAAAGCTTCAAACCCCAAACTTGCAATGACACTCAAATTGCTTATGAATTCGACATGGGGATATTCCATTAAGAAACCTCAAGAGATGAAGAGTAAACATTATGAGAAGGTCGACAACTTTGTTGAAAGGTTCTCCCCTTTTGTTTTGAAGTACGAATTCACTCAAGGTCAAAGTGGCTTAGTAACCACATTAAAACCTATTGTCGAACATTGGTCTTACCCTCAGTTCGCAAAGGCAGTCCTTGACAACTACAACAAATTCTTCTCCGAAGTCAAATCCAAAGTGAAGGTTTACTATGAGAACATTGACGCACTCATGACGAACGAAGAAGGATACAACAAACTCATTGAAATGGGTTTAGTCGGTGAAAAGATGGGTCAATTCAAATTGGACAAAATTTTCACCGAAGTTCATGTCCTCTCCAAACGTAAGTACTGGGGTGTTAAAGAAGATGGTGAAATAGTTAAACATTGCATGAAGTAAAACGTTGCATGAAATAGTAAAACATTTTTTCAAAAAAAATATTTTTTTATTTTATTTGAAATGTACGCTGAGTCTGTCGGAAAGGACCATTGGGAAACTTGTTTGTTAGATGAGAAATATGAAATTCACTGTTGTGAGTCATTTGAAGTCAGAAACAAAAAGACAAAAAGAGTTTTAAGCGAATGTGAGCGAAATGACGGATATGCTAGGATGAGGATTGGTGGGAAATGCTATTTTAAACATATTGTCATTGCAACTCATTTTATACCGAACCCTAACAATTTACCTTTTGTAGACCATATAAACCATATAAGAAACGACAATAGACTTGAAAACTTACGCTGGGTCACTTGTTCTGAAAACAATAAGAACAGAGGCAAATTTGGAGATATAGTATTCGAATTTGTCGACGAACTAGAAGATGAAGCAATTGAAATTACAGACTATGGTAAGCATACGTTTGAGTTTTACTACTATAGCGAAGAACAGGACTCTTTCTACTTTTATACCGGCGTAAACTATAGAAAATTACAAGTATATTTTACTAAGGATGGCTATGCTTATGTAAACGCTAGAGATACAGATGGAAAATACGTTCGAATACTTCTTAACAAATTCAAGAAGCTATATGGCATACCATTTTAAAACATTTTTAAAACAGTATATTTTTACATATATTAAATGCTTCAGGTTGAAAAACAAAGAACAAAAGTAGCAGATACAAAACCGTTAGACTATATCTTTACAAATGCTGGTAGGACTATATCAGATGAAGAAATTTCATCCCGAACCACCTAGTAACAGTTTCTCTGACTTTCAAGTTTGGTTCACAACAAACGGTGTGCAACATATAATACCATTGTACTATGACTTTTATCTCGAATTGTCTTTCATATACAACTACGGAAAAGTGCTGAAAAAGTATTGAAAAATGAGTTTTGGTTGAAAAAGAGGTGGAGCCAAAAGTGGCTCGACCTCAAAACAAGCATTTTGTGAAGAATATACCAACCCGCGGAAAACAGCGGGTTGCTTTTTATACAAAATTCATGCAGGAATTCCTGATGAAATCAAACAGGTTAGAGGAATGTATGTAGACCCAAGACTCGTAAACTATATAACAATGTGGGCTTCTCCAAAATATTGCATAGCAGTTGGAAAAATTATGGACTCCATAGACAAGAAAGTTCATGAGAAATTAGATGAAGAAGAACTTGAAGATACAGTAGAGAATGCTAAACCTTTGTTCGAAGAAGAAGTTAGAAAAATGTGCGAAAAACAAATAGAACATGAACGTGAGATATGTTATGGTTATAGAGACTCGCCATACGAACTAGACCAATGGGAACAAGAAGATTTAAAGAGAGAATTTAGAGAATATGAACTCGCCAAGATAGCATTAGAAGCTGCAGAAAAGAAGTTAAAAGTTTGGGGTCGTTTTGTACAAAAATATTGTGAGTAAATGAACCATTTATTTTTGCTAAATTCGGCAAAAATATATTTTAGGGTAGAAGGTTAGATCTACCCCGTTTTCTACCCCGTTTTCTCACCTCTTGAATTTTCATGATTTCATCGTAAATGTTTTGTCGAAACTTCATCGTAAATGTTTTGTCAAACATGAACGTAAATGTTTTGTCGAAACTTCTTCGTAATGAACGTAAATGTTTTGTCGAAACTTCTTCGTAATGAGCGTAAATGTTTTGTCAAGACTTCTTCGTAAATGTTTTGTCAAGACTTCTTCGTAAATGTTTTGTCAAGACTTCTTCGTAAATGTTTTGTCAAGACTTCTTCATCGTAATGAGTGTAAAGGACCCAAAAATATAATTTAGGGTAGAAGGTTAGATCTAACCTGTCTTCTACCCTCTTTTCTACCCTCTTGAATTTTCATGAATTTTCCCGAAATAAAAAATAAAGTTGGTTTTTTTAAAAAAATAAAAATGTCAACAATCGGCACAACAACAATTCAAACAACAACAGCACCAAACTCGTTAGTTATGAACCCAACTTCAATGTTAGTAGAGATGAAAAGCTTCATTCCTTCTTCATATACTTTCGAAACAGAAATCCAGAAGATAAAGCAGGAATTGTTAACAGGTAGTTTAGACTGTAGTGCGAAAGATGAAACAAATGAACAGTATCTTTATGACATGCAGGATATTATTGACCATTTACCCAAATTGCCTGAAATCCAACAACAAAAACTAACTATTCCTGAATTCGACGAAATAGAAGTCAAAGCAACTGACTCAGTAGAAATAAAGAAGTTCATACGAAAGGTAAACTATGAGTTTCTTGGATTTCATTGCAACCACAAAGTCATGGACAAAGATTGCGATATGGTATATAAGAACATCTCTGACATATACAAATCTGAAGAATTTAAGACCTACGACAACTTTGTTTCGTTAGTTGCAAAATGTGTATGGCAGATAAGAGATAAAGATAGAAGAGGTAAGATATGGAATGAACAGATAAAACCCGCAACTTTTGAGTTAAAGAAAACCATTGACGCCTTAGTCATACTAGCAGGTAAGATTTCAATGTACAATGCTAAAATGAACCCACAATGTTCAAAATGTAAAGCAGCAATGAGGAAATATAACTACTCCGTCAAAGAGATAGAACGTATGCGAAACGACTATGCTGACTTAAAGAAAGAAATGACAAACAATGAGTTTGAAACAGTTGGAAAGATAGACAATGACACCAAAGTGGTTAGAATAGGTGATTTAAACGTAAGATACTCAAAGAAATACAACAAATATTCTTTGTCAGACATTTTATCTCCATTTGGAAAAAAAACAAACCACTGGGTTAAAATTGCTTCTACTCAGAAAATTTTGACAAGAAATCCTGAGCTTATGATATCGGTAAAATTCTATGGAACTGCAGCATATCTCATCGACAAAAGTCTTATACCAATAGTTTTGTTATGGTTAGACCCAGTTGTTGGATATAACTTCATAACATATGGTTCATTCGATACGGAACGTTGCAGTGAAGGCTTACTTTACATCGTTCAGAAACCGAAGGACTTCAATACAAAGAGATATAAGATAGGAAGGACATATAATATAACTCTAAGATATGACAGTACAGTCAATATAGTCAAGGTTGTGTTAGTTAATGATATGAGAGCTGCAGAAACAGAACTACTTGAAAAGTTTGAGAAAATGTATGGTGCTCCCATAAAAGGTAAAGAAACGTTTGAAGTAGATGAGATAGATAAAGCTATAAAATTATTTGACGAAGTTGCTGAAAAATACATGTAAAAATAACGTTTACCATGTAAAACGCTTATAAAATAACTGGGGTAGAAAAGAGGGTAGAAGACAGGTTAGATCTAACCTTCTACCCTAAATTATATTTTTGCTGAAAAATGACCAAAAATCTGAGTAAAATGGCATAAGATTGCTATCCTCGAAAAACCGAGGATAGAGATTCCGTATGAAAATCATGAAGAACAGCGAGTAGGTAAGAAACCTTAGTCGTCAAAAAACTCTATGAAAACAGTGAAATTTCTCTAGACAGACTTTTTCCCCAGTCGCCTAAAACTCATGAAAACAGTGAAATTTCTCTAGACAGACTTTTTCCCCAGTCGCCTAAAACTCATGAAAATCATGAATTTCCTTAAGATAGAAAAAATAAAGTTAGTTTTATTTTTATTTATTTTTTTATTTTGTATGTAAAGACAGATATGTCAACAACAGAGAACACAACAACAGTTATAGTCCATGAAGCTATAAATGAAGAATATGAGTACATACAGTTTAACAAACAACTCCGTCTCATTCGTTCGGTCAAAGACGATATGTACCAAATGCAAAGTATTTTGACGGCTTGTTTTGCACCAGATACTAAGGTTCCTAAAGACTGGTTTAGGAACCAAAGCACACAAGAACTTTTGAGCGAAGCACAGCGAGACATACTTTTTTCTGAAAATCGTGAAGAACAGCGAGTGGGGAAAAAACCCCAGTCGCCAAAACTCTATGAAAATCGTGAAAAATTGCCAAATGGTTTGAGAGGATATTATGTTCATAGACTTCTCGTAAATAATGTGGCACAATGGGCTTCAGCTCGCTATTCATGGTATGTTTGTAAACTTCTTGACGAACTTCACAGACAAGAACGTGAAGAGCTAGAGAACAAGCTTGAAGCAAAAGACAAAAACATACAGAAAAGAATACCACGTTCGGTACCAAAAGGAAAGGAAAAGAACTATAAGTATATGATTTATACTGAAGAGATGGAAAATGAAGAAGACAGAGATATGGTTATGTTGCATTTAGTCAGAAGAAACAACAAAAGCTTTTACGACCTTGCTAAGATTTACAAATCTGACAGAAATTGGTTCTATCGCGAAAACTTACCGATTTCAATGACACCGAATGAAGATGTGAAACAAATAGTTCAAGATACGTTACCTCAAACACACTATGATATGAAAGGTTGTACAATACTTACATTCAAAGAAGATTTACCGCTACTGAAGGAAAAAATAACAGAGTATTTTGACAACTTCAAACAAGTAGAGTAGATGAACCATTTATTTTTCAAGCAATTGCCTCGTCAAATCCTTCTGGCATTCCGAGTCCTTCCTTCCAACAGGAAAAAAATTTCCTTCCAACAGGAAAAAATTTTCCCGACAACAGGAAGAACTCTTCCTTCCAACAGGAAAAATTTTTCCCGACAACTGGAAAAAATTTTCCATCCGACAGGAAAAATTTTTCCATCAGACAGGAAAAAATTTTCCAGTTGTCCGTCCGTAAACCATTCAAATTTTCGAAAATTGAGAACTTTTTGGTCGAACTTCAGAAAAAAATTTTCCATCCGACAGGAAAAAATTTTCCATCCGACAGGAAAAATTTTTCCCGACAACTGGAAAAGTTCTTCCTTCCGACAGGACACAAACGAATGTCCGACGTTCCTCTTCCTGAATGTCTTCCAAAGCCAGAAGAACCGACAGCCCCAGCACCACAACAGACTAAGACTCAAACACTTACATTTTTCAAGCTTGACTTTTTACAATTTGAACTTTGTTTGCGTAGATATGAATTCTGAAAGAAGTATGAGGGTCTTGTATGACTTTGTACTTCTCCCATAGTTCATGTCTGTCAAACTTACCTGCCATGGACTCTTTCATAAGTTCCATGAAATCGTCTTCGGACAATCCAGGGAAAAGTATGATATCAGTAAGTATTCTTTTAACATCCTTACTTAAACTCTTTGCTGTCTGTACACATATTACGACTGAGATGTTAAAGTGTCTGAGCTTCTTAAGAATTCGACACATATCTTGTTCTCTGTTCTTTAACAAAGGATGAGAAGCAAAGTCATCTAAGATAAGAAGACATCTATGAGGGTAAGTCTTCCAATCGTAAGATTGCAATTTCTTCGAAATGTATTCTATCTCTTTCTGTTTGTTTCTGAAGTGTTTCTTCTCTAATATTCTCTGCATTTCCTCATTTGGGTCTTTAAACTTCGAATTGACATACTCATTTATAGCATTGTACTTCAAAACTCTTCTTTGGTACTTCTTTATCCAATCTAACAACTCAGAGTCTTTTATACATACTAACTTAGACTTCTTTATAATATCTTTGAACGAATTGACGGTTTGGTCAAATTGACCAGAAGTACTACAAATGACTACTAACTCATAGAATGGGTTCTTCTCATCTAGTTCTTGTTGTTGTGCAGCCATTTTTAAGATAAGTGAAAGTCTTACCCGACCCAGGTGGTGCGATTAGACCTGTTATACCATTCTGAGCAAATAGGAACTTGTCATGTATGGGTTTTATCTGAGCATTTTCTAACTTCCTCTTGTTCTTGTTTAAAACATTCTCAAATTTCTTGTCAATGTCAGCAAACTTTTTTCTAACATATTTTTAGAAAAATTAAAAATTTTATCTTTTAGAAAATGTCTAGCGATTTCGCTATCTATATTCGAGACAAACTTTTTGACAGCAAAACATCTGTCGACCATAAAATCTTACATAGTGTAAACAAGAAAGGTGAATTTGTTCTAAAGTTCTGTTTCTGGGAATATGACAAGAACCATAAAACATTAGCAGAGAAGTCTTAATTTGTCAATGACAGACTTGTTGACAGAGATGACGCCTCTTGGAAAGATGAAGTCCAACAAAAGTTCTTAGAATGCAAAGAAGACACATGCGCTGTTCTTGAAGATGAAATAGAAAACAGAATAGAAGAGCTATTAAAGGACAAAGAACTTTTACATAAATATGGTTGCGCCAAATTTGACATAACTCCACCAGAGAAGAAGAAGAAGAGAGAAAAGAAAGAAAAGAAAGTAGAAGAAAAGAAAGTAGAAGAAAAGAAAGTAGAAGAAGAGAAGAAAGAACCAGAGCCAGTTCCAGAGAAAAAGAAATTTGACATGTAAAAATAAAATTTTATTTTTAGAACATTTCTGGGTCAATGTCAATGTTCTCTTCCTCTTTAGGAGCAAACACTGGCTTAGACTCTAAAATCTTTTTACCCAATTTACCTTGAACTTCAACTATCTTAGACTCATAATATTCATAGTCGTCTGCTTTCTTTGGTTCATAAGGTATAACAAGTTTGTATGCTTTGCCTTCTTTAAGGTTTGAGAACCTTCTGTCAAAATTTTCTTTGACTGCTAACAAACCTTCTATGTCTAAGTCTTCAAATTTCGCACCATTTTTAGTCACAATAGCAAACTTAACTGGTTCGATGTTCCAAACTTTGCTGAATGTAGACTTTTCAAAATTGTAGAAGTAAACATTCAAATAAGCGAATGGGTCTAGTTCTTCTTTGACTTCTGTCATGTACTTGTTGACTGAGATGAATTTCGTCATCTTTTCTATCGGATAAAAAAATATTTTTTTAAAATTTACTCAGAAAAATTTTTCTTTGTATATACGCCATTCTGAACATCTAAAAGATTTTTGACATTTGCCAAGAATGTACGTTTAGACGCTGTCATATAACCATATTCTTGACAATATTGTTTATATTCATCGTACAATGACCTTTCATCTAAACACTCAAAGTCGCTTTCTTCTATGAACAGTTCATATACACTCTTGTTTGCTTCTAACAATGTTTGTCTCTCTTCGGTATGTGGAATTTGTCTTGGATTGAACTTAGAAATATCTAATGTCATAAAATATGAGAACAAGTGGTTGTAAAAGTCAGATGTCAAAGTTTCTGCTAAGTCGTCAAAATATTCTGTATCTTGCATATGAGAATCTGACGTTCTGACAACTACATATCTTCTGTCAGAACTTTCTAACTTCATCGGAACAGCATTGTTTGAAACCATAATGAAGTTTGCAACATTTTCACAAACTCTTTGGTCTTTATACTTTCTTTCAACAACTCCAACTTTGTCTGTTATAAGACTCTTCAAAGCATCTGAGTTCAAAACTTTTGTTGTATCTATACTTTGAAGTTCGTTACATACTATAAGTTTCATATTCTCTATTGAAGAGTTAAATTTACCGCAGATGTTTTCTAAGTTTGTCATATTAGGGTTCGAATAGCCCTCTAACAGTTTGCACAAAATATCTGTAAAGAAAGTGTTCTTACCAGTTCCTTGTTTTCCAATTATAATGAGAGCAGTTTCATTTTTAGCACTTGGATGTTGTAAGATGTTTGCAAACCAACATAAGATATACTCATAGACTCTTTCGTTTCCATTGCATATAATTTCTTTGACATGGTCTAACCAAGCTTCTATAATATTTTCTTTCCATTCTACTTGTTCGTATTTATATCCAGTGAAGATAGAATAGAAGTTTGGAGAAGGTGTATAGAACTTTATACCTCGAACTGAAAAATCTTCTAACTTTGACAATAAGATATCCCAAGCATCTAACATCTTCATGCCAACTTGTACGACTTTTATTTTCTTAAGTTTCTGTCTACATTCTTGTTCAGACACTATTGTTGCTCTTGGTTTGTTAAAGACAACATCCCATTCTTTCATGACATAACATTCTGGGGCAGAGTCAACATAAATGACTAAACGTTTCAAATTCTCGACTGCTTTGTTATAGTCTCTAAATGGACACATATTTCTGAATGCTTGGAAGTCATAAAAATCTGAAACATCTATTCTGTACATTTTTATAAAAATAAAAAAATATTATTTTTTTATTCTTGACTTTGTTGTTCCATTTGTTCCATTTGTTGCATTTGTTGTTCTTGAGCTATTTGTTGTTGAAGTTGTTCTTGTAATACAATACTTTCACCAGTTGCATCTTCCAATTCGAAACTTTCTGCCGTCATTGACAAATACATAGGACATAAAAGTTTTACAGGAACAAAGTTTGCGTCAACTAATGTCAACGTTATACTTGCCAAAGTGTTTGAGTTCACTAAGGTTGAAAATTCTGCATTCGAATGAACAATAGGCAAACCAGCAGAGAAAGTATTGTTTATACGCATAAGTATCTTTTGGTCATAGTAGTTTCTGTCGACATTCGAATAACACTTTGAACCTAAGTTTGAAACAATATATAAAATAGGTGTACTTAAAGTCAATGGAATAGACATTCCTTGTATGACACCTTTTCCTGTTATAGGAAACTGTTGGTAGTAAAAACCAGATATAAGTTTTGTATTATAGCTCATATTGTTTATAGTAAACTCAGTCGGACATCCAAACATAATGAAACCTGCTCTAGTTGCAGCACATGTTACATCCGTCCTTAAAGTATTAAATAAGTCAACAAAACCTGTTGGTGGTATATCTGAGTAAGTATCTTCAAAGGAGTATTTTTTACCATTCACAACAACAAAGTCTTCTGGTGTCAAAAGAGCAAAACAGGCTTTAGTCGTCATTGTGTTTAAGGTTAGTTTACAATATCGTCCTTGAGGACTTTGTAAGTTTGTTGTTATAGAATTATATGACTCAGGGTTTTTAGTCGTAATAGTATAAACCACTATGTCTTCTGCCATTTACTTAGCAAATAAATTTTAATGAAATGTTGTGGTCGTCAAATATTTTTATGACGTCTGGGAAACTATATTTTAAGTTCAACGTTTCACCTCCTTTCATAACGTATATCTTGTCAATGACATTATATGAAACACCACAGCAAGCAATGTCGGGTTCTATTTCTTTGATGTTTATATCGTCTGCCTCTGTCAAAAGTTTCAATAGTTCTTTCAAAACTTCATGAGGTGCAATGACATATGAGTTCACTTTTACAGGGTTGTGTTCGACCAAGTTTAACATTATACCCAAAGCTTGACAAATCTTCTCCTGAGTTTTAAGTTTGTCTTTAAGTTGTTGGTAGTCGTTTCGAATATCTGCAACAGAACTTAAGTCTCTGCTAACTTCAGGGTATGTTGGTTGTTCTTTTACAGGAACTATTGTTATACCATCTTCGTCTTCGTATGGTTTCCCCACTTCAACATCTCTTTCTTTGACATTGACAACAACACTTTGACTGTTTGTTTGAGTTGGTGAATTTAACTTCACATCTGCCACCGCCATTAAACCTTTTGAAACACTTACGCTTCTATTTTTCGGAAATGACATTTTACTTAGAATAAAAAGATGGACGTATTCGAGTATCTCTTCGAATTGAAGCAGAACAAAGTTTACACACACAAACAATACAAATACATTGACAGAATAGTTCTTTACACAAACAATGGAAAATGTTATAGAATAGCAGTCTTTGCTGAACCAAAATATTTTCATAAAGCAAAGAAAGTTGGTATAACCGAAATGGTGAAAGTTCTTGAAGCAGACAAAAATATAACAACAAAACTGACCGATATTTCTAAAGGTAAGTTTATAATACAATATTATATCAAAACTGGCGTACTGTCAATATTTGACGGAGAGAAGTCAGTTCAAGAACAACTTACTGACCTGCTGCCAAAATCTGCTCGATGGAAGCTGTCGTTATACCAATCTGAGGAGCCCCAGCAGGTTTCATCGAACGAATCTTCAAAAGAGCATCTTCCGTGAAAAGTGCTATTGGTTTTGTAAACTTCTTTGCTTTCAATTCATCTGGACCGTCTCTGTCACCAGTATATTGTATTTGAACTGTACCAACAGTTGAAATACCACCCATAAAGTCTTCTGAGTCAGCAAATGGAATGCCAAGCCAAAAGTTTGAACGGTCTCCATTTGTATATTGAGTTTTTTGACCTCCTGTATGAGTCCATACTTTCACATATGGCATAATAGAACTTTGCATTTCAGGGTTAATGGTTGTTGTGAAGTTGTTGTTAAAGTTCATAGCATCTAATGTCAAGTTGTATGACCTCATATCCTCAACTGTAGAATATTCTTCTCTTGGATAATATTTGCCATCTATGTTTATATATTTAATACCAGGGTTGTAAACAAGAATAGTCATTTATAGTTCGTCTGAACAGTACAAACATAGTATCTGCATGTTTCATTGCAGTTGTTAAGCAATATCTGTTCTTGCACCTGGGTCAGCACTTTGGTTTCCAACTTCACCTGCAAAGTCTTTGACAGATATTTGGTGTATAGGGAACATAAGTGGAACTGCAATATATTTGGCAGCTAAAGCATTTGAAATATCTGGGTCCAACATATAGACTGCAAGTCTGCTTTCTATTCTCTTGCATTCAAATTTTTCGCATGTGAACTTAACTGGGTCCCAAGCAGTTCCAGCAGCATTGAAATAGTAGTTTACTTCAGTG